CCTCATGCTCCCAGCAGAGTGCTCTGCTTCCACAAGCCAAACTGTATCAGTCCTTGTTCAGCTTCAGCCTGGCATTTATTCCTGCCAGACAAACCCTTGTTCCTCAGAAGCCAGTTTCACTTCACTGGGTCTCTCAGTCTGACCAGCTCGCTCATCTCTATCCCACATCTTTGGAGAAATGTAAAATATGGTGTTATGACTTCTGAGAATGAAACACAGTCCCCCTCATTGCATCCCTTCAGACCCCATATCTCCACAAAAGAACTGGTGGCTCTGAATTGCACTGTGAGAGCTTCTGCTCATTCATGTCTTAAATAATTTCTCTAGCCTGCTTTCCCTGAAGTTACACAGGATAACACAGCTTTTATGTAAAGCTGAGGCTGCTAACAAACATTCTGCAATACCTCTTCTTTTTTGCACAAAAGACCATATAAAACCACTTGCTTGTATGTTAAAGTACCAGCATCAGAAAGTAGGGAATGAGAAACGTGGTCCAATCACTTTGTTATTGTGACTCAGTGTCACCTGGTTGTTCTGCTATGTACAGGATTTCAGCTCTGCTCATCTCTGAGGACAAGTGAGGAAAAGAGAGATGACATTTTCGGTTTGGATTTGTGGAGAGGTGGCAGCAGAGAAGATATTGTATGAGCAGCAGGAGTATTTGCTTTTTTTTTTTGTGCTTGAGCTTGGAGTTTATTTTAAATGTAATTAACTCCTGGGAGTTAATTTTCCAGAAGCTTGGTCTGAGTGGTGGGTGGAAACTCCTGTGTTCGAGTACCTCAGCTCTAGCCCTTGGGCAAGCACTGAGATAAAACTGTTGTGTAAGAAGCATGCCCCACTTGGTGAAACATTTCTCCTGCACAGACAAGCTGCTCTGAAGCACCCCAGCAGCATGCACCCACACAGCAAAGGTGGCTCACAAAGGGTTAGTGCTTTGATCCACAGCCTGATTCTATTGCCTGCAGGACAAATCCCTAACAAAGTGCCTTAATGAAGAGGCTGTTCTTTATTAAACGGCCACCACACCCTTGGAGTTGACAGGAGACTGCTGAAGGCTAATGCTCTGAGGAACTTGAACTCCATGAGCGGGCTCTGCATGCTGGGCCACCCTGCCTGGAAAGGGTGAGAACAGTTTCAGGTGTCACCAGAGCACCACCACGGGCTCACCACAGGCCTAGGACACCTCTCTAGACACATGCCTCTGTGAATGCGCTATGTGGGCACACACACCAATGTACCTCTGGCATATCCTGGGTTGCAGATAGCCACTGCTCTCCCTGTTACAGGAATGATTCTCTGCTACTAGCAATAGTCTTAGATGAGAAGTGTAATCCTTGTTTTCCAAGTTGCATGCACTTCTTTTCTAACTTCTAAGGCATCATACAACTTTTCCTCCTTGGAGCATGCCCCTGGTTTAATAAAAATAAGTAACTATTAGAATATAAAATTAATGTAACAATACTCTCTGGCACCTTAGCCAGCTCCTACAAAATACATCACTGACAAAATTTGCTCAGTTTCTGCATCAGATCATTTCTCCCTTATATTCATAGAGCTTGCCATTTTTTGCTAGCAAATTGTAAAATTGCCCTCTTTTGACATGAATTATCTACACCAGAGTCACCCTGCATTTATTCCCCTTTTTATTTCTAGCCATCACTCAAGCCATTTGGGTGGGATGTGGGGAAAATGTGCGTGAATTAATTGACAAAATGCACACCCTGAATTCCATTGTTGAAAGCATCTAGTAGCCAGCCGAATTCTTCAAGGCATCCTGAATCTCTGAATGGCTCATGAAAACTAGTCAAAAGTCCTTTTAGGAAATGACCCAGTTGAAGCAATCAGAATTCACTCACAAATGATTTGCTAACCCAAGAATTAGTCCACAGAGCCTGTTTCCTATGGCCTGACTCATCCTCAGCAGTATCCTTTATTTTTTTATTTTTTTCTTCTGTGAGAAGTTTCAAAAATTGTGTGGAATTGCTAGAGTATTTTAAAGATATTACTCACCAGCTCAGCATGATTAAATGTAACCTATAATAGATATAAGGAGGGCAAAATTTAAAAAAAATGTCAGACTAGCTCAGGAGCTAAATTTCCCAGGAGTCTTAAGTGTTGCAAATGCTGAGGACTGCAGCACATCATTTTCAGGCTCTGTGCCCCCTAGGAGTACTTCTCCTTAGTTTTCAGGGCTGTCAAGGCAACACATGGATATTTGCTTACATTGACCAGCTGCAACTGCCCAGCCCCTCTTCCAGTGGAGGTAGTTTACCAGCAGCAGGGAAGAGTCTCTTTTAACCTAGAACTCTCTTTTAGGGTGAAACCTTAAAATCCAGATGACTTCAGCAGATAGACTCATCCTTAGGCTCTCTTCCCTCCCTGGAAGAGAAAGGGAATTTAGGCACTTGATGAAGGAGGGGTAAGTTCCTCCAATGTAGGTGCAGCACTACCGATTTAAAGACTAAAATTATAATTTAATGGGATTTAGCTTTCCCTTCTGAAGCCAGAGAAGAGTCAGAAATCCCATCCCCAGGAAGAGAAGGTGACAAGGGAGGGCTGCACCTCTGTCACACTCCCATGAGAGCCTCTTGGAGCTGAACGCCTTGCAGTACAGTGGATGAAAGCCAATGAATTAGAACTCAGCATATGAGCAAAGCACGGCTCCATTGAACCGCTTATCCCTTAGCAGAGCCAGCCTAAAGCTTCCTGAGGGAATAATAACAAGTTTGAATTTTTGTCCCTCTGAGTGCCAGGAGAGACTATAAGGGCACACGTGTGGTGAGGACAGAGAGAGCCCTGGAAAACCTGGCTACTATGAGGATGGAGCTGATCTGGGGCCAACCACCTGCCCCCAGCTACTGCCCCTGTCTGGGAGAAGGGGTTGTATCCAGCTTGTTTTATTCCAGGGATCCAGCACAGGCAAAACAGTGCAGCAGAAAATTTTTTGGCCAGAGTATTTCTCTACCTGATCTCTGCCTATTGATAACTCTGCCTTCAAGAAATTTCTGAGCAACATCGTACCAAAGGCAAAGCAAATCAAGGAAACACCTGGGGTGGGAAAACATTCCTAATTCCCACTTGGGCTGAAACTCAGGAAACTTGAACAGCAAACAGAGAGGTTTGAAAAGGGCTTCACCCTATCTCCGCAAACTGTGGGTGTTTGCAAAGAAGAGGTGAGTCAGCAGCACCCTTTCTGTACAGCAATAGTAATCTTGGCTTTTAATAGCTCTCTGTTAGCTCAGGAAGAAGGAGCAGCTGACCATGAAACAGCAGCAAGGACATCTGAAGAGGCCTAAAAATGTAACATGTGAATGATATGTTTTTAAATAGAGTACATAAAGGGAAAGAGAGAACTTGGAATAAATCCAAAGCTAAAAATCCAGTTCTGGAGAGGAAATGAATGCAAGGTAAGACCAAAATATTACTTAGATCTTGAGTGAGAGGGGAAGGTTGAGCTGTCAGACCTAGACCCTTTCCTGGAAAAAAAATAAAAGTAAAATTTCTTAGCAGAGGATACTTTGGGTGAGAAAGGCATGTGATGCTCTGGTCCCACCAGAGTTTCAACTGTAGGGATATTCTGGGCTCTCAGTTGTCTAGCTGGGTCAAATCCCAAATTTTGGTGGAAGAAAACAAATGGTCTGGAAAGAGCTGTGGAACTCAGCCTTAGATACCACAAAGCACAAATCTGGTCTTCTTTCTATCCTTCATTCTGAAGTGCTCCTTTGACCCTACTTCCCAGTTTACATTTCATCATGTGAAACTTCTTTAAAAGTAGCTGCAGGGTATACAAAAATAATCCTTACAATAGTCGACTTTCCATCTAATGCATCTCCCCACTCAGTAGGTCAGTTATCATGGCAAAGAAGGGAATGAGTCTTGCCTGACATGATTTGTTCTTCAGAAATCCATACCTGGCATTTTTATTACCTTATCTTTTAGGTGACTATAATCTAATTGTTTAATATTGTTTTCCTGAAAATCTCCAGGCTCTGGAGATGAACTATAATTTGGAGTTAGTCTATAATTTCCCCTCCCTCTCCTTCCTTCCTCATCTGAAAACAGAAATTATAGTTCTCCCTCGGTCCCTGCTCTTACAGCTGCCCGAAGGTATAGCAAACAGTTCAGAGTCTGCTTCAGCTGAATCCTTCAGTACTCTAGGGGGGATGTCACCAGGTGCTGTAGATCTGACTACCTCTGTTCTGGTGCAGTCATCTTTAACTCATCCTTTCTCACACCTGGCCCGTCTAATCTCTTTGTAAAATGCATTGCCTTACACAGCTTGCTGCAATTATTTCTTTAGTCCGAGTGCTGAAGAATACGCTGAATGCTTCAGCTTCATCTGTGTCATCTGTTATTTGTCGTCGTGCTACCATAGGGTTAGGCTTCCCTTTGTCATCTTCTTACTTTGAAGGTATTTCTGGAGCCTTTTGTGGTGCCCTTTCTGCTCCTCGCTTGCCTGGTGCATGTTGGGACTGCTGCTTCTATTCTGGCGTGATTCTACTGCCACAATACATGCTCTGTGCTCATGTGTCCTTACTCCTATGTGCTGTGCGGTTCTGCTTTATTATTCATTATATAATGGCTCTTATTATTTTTCCCTTTCCTCTGCATCAGTATAGTTTGCTCTTAAAAGGGAACCATATTGCACTGGGAGCAAGGGAGAGACATCAGCCGTGTAGGGGTGCTCTGCAGGGTCTCTGGGTGCTGAGAGGGCTTGGCTCAGCAAAACGGGTGCAATTCTGGGAGGAAGCAGGAAAAACCTGAGCTGCAGTGGGGGCTCCTGTCTGATCTGTGCTTTATTCCAGACCTTTTGTTTTGATAACCCCACCTCTTGTCAGTGGCCATCTGGGAACTGATTTCATGCCAGGATCATTAACTCTTAAGGCACTGTTCTCATTTTCCTCATTGTTTTTGCCATATTTCAGCTTGGTACTGGCACTGGTGGGAAGTACTTTTCAGGTGAGGCATACTGTGCTAATAGAGAAAACCTGCTAAAAAACCTGCTTAAAATTGTGCACAAAGATCATTTAAGTCTGGAAAATCCAAGAGAGGGACTGGAGACAATGTGTGCCATCTACAAAGAAACCCTGACCCTGAGGAAGCAGGAGAAATTTTGTTTCATACCAAAATGCAGCTTCATGAAAGCATAGGAGATAAAAACAGGAGAGATGGGTAACTGCTGTGTAGTTACACATTAATACCTGTTAAAAGTTTATGTGTCCTTTGGGGGGGTTACAGCTGATCTGGACAGGTCAGAGATGCAGCTGGGGACACAAGTCCTTTAAAATAGGAATGCAATCCTTTCCCACCTTAAAAAAGGACTTCTGATGTTTTCAGCTGGGTTTTCTTGTCTTGAACTTTGGTCAGGCTTGGCATGGGAACACTCTGAAATCATTCAGCTGCTTTATGTCCTTGGACAAAGGAAGATATTTTTCTGGGGTCAATTTTAAATTCAAAACCTGCTTGGCCAAGAACTTTTAATGACTGATAGTCTTTCAGCTGCCTTGTCATAATAAAGACACAGGGATTAGGTGCTGTTTTCCAGTAGTTTGAAATGCTGTACAAGGTGGCTTGTCACTCACCTTGACAAACCCAATGTGAAGGTCCCCAGGTAAATTTCTGACTTACAGCAATGTAAATGTTGATAATCCAGCTCTCAGCAAGCTAATTCAAATTTTATTCTAGTCTCCAGATGCTATCCAGCTTGTGCTCAGAGACCCCAGTGATGCTGTTAGCATACTCCTGCCTGACTACTTTGTGAAAACAGAGGAGACATTTACAGAACAGCTTCCTTAATTCCTTCGGATGCAGCTTCTGGGTCCTGAAATGGCCCAAAAGACCGGCTGTGAAGAAACTGTGACATAATTTCAATGTGCCAAACCGCAACACAGGAGGTAGATTGGGTTCTTGAAAAATGAAGCCCTGTACTTGATATAGAGCATGAAACTGGTGCTCAGACTGTGGAATCCAAGAGGTGCTGGTTGGGAAACACCTCTGGAGGCTTTTGGTCCAGTGACTTGCTCAGATTAAGGTTGTGACCAGCACTAGGTCAAGCCAATTGCATTTTTTTTGCAGCCAAACATGGAAAACCTCCAAGGATGCACATCTACCAGCCCTCTCTGAACCTTTCCAAGGCTGCTCCCCCTCCCTCAGTGCATTTTTTTTCCCCTGACGTTGAGTTTCCCAAGCTACAACCTGTGCCCATTGCCCCTTGTTATAGTGTCTGTCACTGCTAAGAAGAGTTTACCTCTGTGGTCTTTATGGCTCCCTTTCCAGTTTTTGCAGTCTGCTCCTATTTCTCCACTGAGAAATAGCCACCTTTTCACTAGGTAAACAGTGCTACATTTTCTGCAATGAGAGGGAGGGAGCTGTTATCTTAATATTCAACCTAGTGTCCGCTGTATAACCCCTAGGTCTTTTGCAGCATTGGTAGTCTTGAATTTGATGGAAAATGAATGGGTATGTTGGATCTGATATGAAATATTAAATCTCTATTCAAGGTGACATTTCATAAATTACATGCCTGCGAAATCATGGAGAACTCAAATCTTTTTCAGTAAAGATGTTTGCTCCAACCACAAAAAACAATTGGGGTGCCATTCTTGGGGCAAAAGCCAGGAAGACCCAGGATCACCAGACCTCTTGCAGGTATAATTTTGGTTCCATAAACCTGCAAGTGCATGAACTGGAAGCTGCATTCATTGAGTGCACAGGGCAGATGCTGATAGAATGTACTGCTCTTATCTCATCCTAGTACACATAAAGCCTGAATGTGGCCCATTATGTTCCCTATCAAGACACACTTAAATAGGAAATTTGGTTATGGATTCAAGATTAGCTAATCAATGAAAACAAAGGACGTGTCCCTGCACTTTGTAGGGTGTTTCTGTACAGCTGTCAGACTCTCCAGAATTTCCTGAGCTCTTGTCTGTTCCAAGCTTGTGTTTGCCTGGACGTTTGCAGTCAGGCTGTCAGTGTGGATCCCATGCTGCCATCTCACTATGAGTCACACTGACCCAAACATCAATTTGGCCCAATATTGCTTTTCTTTATTACCATCAGACTGGTAGTTTAATTTCTGAAAAGAAAACAAACCCTCAAACATCACTTCTGTCAATCTCAACATTAAATTCAATTTGGAAAGCAGAAAACAAAATGAAAGTGCAATGCCCAAACTTGTCCTTCCCATCACTGCTGCGCTGCAGACCACATGCAATCCAGAGTCAAGGCAGGGAGACAAACACTCCAGGCAGGACTGCTGTTGTGTCTGCTGAAGGCTCCACTTGATTTCTCTCCTGCATTACTTTTTTTCTACAACAGGCCTAAACAATCCCCAGGCTACCCAGATGTGAGAGTGAATGTCACATTTATGGCAATAATTTTCATCACAATTTGGTGTCCAGCTGTCCCTCCATATTTCATTTTTCTTCATATGGGAAGAGAGTCTTGTGTGCCTCTGCAGCACTGTGCAGTGGACCCCACATCATGCTGTGCATGATGCTCATGCCCTCTGTGCCATGGAGGTTTTCCTGCCCTATGACTTTGCATAAAACCTGATCTCAATGTGAGCAGCAACAGAACTTTTAGAGGGAGATTTATAAAGACTGTAAGGACCTGGGAGTCCTGAACAGCTTCTGGCTTGATGGTCCAATGGCTAACCATTCTAACAAAAAAAAATGTGTCATATTTAAGTTAGTCTGATCTGATTTCAGAATTCACCTACAGGGTCTTATGTATGCTTGCCTTCTAAATTGAATAAACCTCTGCTTTCAGTACCTTCACCTTTTATCTGGTGAACTAAGTGGGTTGAGCTCCTTTGTTTTCAGTTTTTCAGTATATTCAGGAAAATGCTCTCCTCTATTAAAAGCAGATAGAGTAATATGGAAAAAACACAGAAACCTTCTACAGCAAGCACTGAGGCAGGGCAGAGCTGTGGTGGAAACATCCTCTTTCTGTCATCTCCCATGGGCAGTGCAGAGTGAGGGCAAAACTGAGTGTGAGAGATGCCAAGCTGGATTTGTCACAATGGACTTCAGACTCCTATAGTGAAGATGTTTGCAGATGAACTGGTCACTCTGGTAGGGTGTGCTTCACTTGGTATTAATAGTGTCATTTAGAATGAGAAGGAACACATTTATTTCTTTCTCTCAACTACAAAAGAAGAGCGTGGTTGAATTCTGGGTGTTTACAGTTGGGAGATGAATTTATAAGGTGTGAGAAGAAAAAAGGTATTTGCATAACTGATATCAGCTATTTGCATAACTGATAAATCATAAAAGCTCGCTTATGGAAAATGAGCCTCTTTGATTTACTGCAGGACATCACTGAGACCTAGGACAATGTGAAGGAAATTCTCTGAGAGGATTTTGAGTCTCATCCACTTTGTATCCATCTGTCACTATCCTGTGTCTAATGCCAAGGATTAATGCAGCAGGATGGTTCTGTTTTCCATATTTTCAGAGAAAAAGACATATTATGACAAAAACTAGCCAGAACTGCATCTTCAGAGAGTTTCCCCTCGTGCACAGAAGAAAATATCACCATCTGGAGAACTCATCTCAAGGTGAGGTGAGCCCCTTAAAAGCTACTGATCTCTCCTGTGGAGGAGTGTGTATGGGGTTGGGATAGCAGGAAATCTCAGTTCCAGTTCAGTGATATTAGTGCATCTGCATGAACTCAAGTTTAGTGAGGAATGGATTAATCAGATGAAGTTCTATTAGGGGATCAGGGGAAATCCAAAAGGCAAGTAAGGAATTATTTGAGCATAGCGTGATGGCAGATACATGCTGTAACCAGAAAAGAGAGGGATGCACATGATATGTTAAGCTCAATTACACTTGGTACAAGTCCAAGGATGCCCCTGGGGCTGTGCCAAGCTTAGAAGACTATAAGCTGGGTTGAGAACATGGTGAAAAAAAGAAACAGCAGAGTGTCTGATGGAAGTGCCAGAAAGATCCTCTGAAACTGAAAACCAGAGAAGACCACTGGACTGGGGACTCAGTTGAGATTTATGGGTTGTATACATGGAACTGTGACTGACCTCCATTAACAATAAAATCAGAAATAGTGCTGAAATACATGTATAGCGTAGTGGAGATATGAAGTTCTTGCAGAAGAAAATTATACTAGGAGGGAAACGTTATCCTTGACTGACTGCAAGGCTAATGAAGTTGACAACTCGGGAAGTGGAAGCAGCTGCAATTCTTGCAGCTTTTTCTGTAATGGGGAAAGTCAAGACAACAAAAAATTTTCAAAAATTTTACAATGCAATTCCTTGAGAAAAACAGGCTTGGAGATGTTGGGACAGTGCAGAGAGGAAAAGGCTGAGTGAAAGGGGTTTTGGAGACAAGCAGCAAGTAATTAAAGCAGTTCTTTCCAGGTAAGAAGGAGTGAAATATGTAAAAATAATATGAATGTTTTTGTTCCATTATAAACCAAAACAATCTTTATTATTTTACACCAGAGCTCAGGAACATGACCTGGAATAACTTGTGGGACTGTAGGGCAGAAGGGATGGGTAGAGGCTAGGCAGTTCTTCAAGCTTCCTGCCTACACCAATAAATAAAAGACCAGGCACTGTTCTTTGTCCTGGAGATTGAAAATTGTGATATGACTCATGCCCAAATGATTAAACAGGTTTTCCTCCTGTGTAGGAAGGTTGTGCTCAAACTCTTAGGGAGCATTCCCTGTCTTGTGTTGTGCATAAGTCTTGCCATTTTTTGGGTAAGTGCTAGTGGTCCTGGGCCAAAGCTATGCCAAGAGCCATACAAACTATTAGGTAGTCTGGACATATGCAGGACTGTGCTAAACCTTGCTAGTAAAGAAGTAGACTGTGAGTACAGATCCCTTCTTCTTGAACCCACATAGTTTGCTAGGTATCTTTGAAGTGCTCTCAGCTTTTACATATAGCTACTGCAAAAGATGTGACAGAGAAGTGGTGAGTCTTGCAAGGCACACAGCATCCTGAAACTCTCAGCTACAGTGGTTCTGTAGCACAGTACAGCACCAGAAATGCCTCAGGACCCTGGTTTCGCAAACATATTCGTTTATTCCCTTGTGGAAGGGTTATACTTGAATCACTTTCCTATGCTAGCATGACATCATAAACAAAACAGGCACAGTTACATCAGCTCAAACATGGAAGCTCTGCCCTGCCCCTGTATCCCCCCCCACACTTCCCCCTCACCCACCCCAAATAAACAATAAAAACTAACATTTAATCCAAAGGCACAACACAAGCATAGAAAACATATAATGAACTGGGAGAACACAATATGTGCATCCGGTAGCGGCTGAAATAGCAAAGACCAGCAAAAAAAGAAAGTCTGCATATAGAAACGAGGTTAGATTTATTAACCTCTCATTTATTAATGAGTTTAGATTTATTAGATTTATTTAATTATTGAATACCCAATAGCTTAACAGAGGTAAATCAGATGCAGCTCCTTGTTTCCAGGTCCAGCCAGTAGTGAGACTGAATCTACATGCCCAGTAGGCACATGAACACAGTACCTAAACAGCTATTTACACAGCCACCCACACAGATCAACAGGAGCAAGGCACAGAGTACTCATGCTATGAACAATGACCTAGTCTCCTCTCTGTCTGATCAAGATGAGAGACCATCAGTGATAAAATGACACATATGAATATGGATCCCTCCAGTAGCTGGGCTTAGGCATTCATTCTGCCCAGTGTCTACCCCTGGATCCCAGCTCTCTCCAGTAGCTGGCACCTGTACATACGAGCTCCAGAGACCCACAGCCCTGCTGCAGCTGATGGTGCTCAGACCCCCTCACACAGAGGCATGTGCAGACACATGCACTGAGGACTCACGTGTATTCCCTCCCCTTCCTTGCCTTTAGTTCTTCCCCTAAGCATCCCCAGATAAGTCTTGTGCAATCCTCAAATGCTCTTCCTGGCATCACATAAAACGTCCCATACTCCCAGGCAGCGACCCCTTTCAGGCTCTGAGGCAACATCTGGAGACAGCCACTCCTATTGACCCATTTGGAGGGTGTCCCACCTGGCCCATGGGGCTGATGTCTCTGCTGGGACAGCCCTGAGAGGAACCATGGTAGGGGACTCTGTTGAGTCTGACTGGGTTGTCGGGGTTTGACTGTTATTGTTCCCACATCCTTTTGTGTTTGTGGAGATGAGCTAACAAGAATTACAAAACTACCAATCCTGCGAAAAAGTAAGTTGAAACAAGAATAAGCAAGACCTTGCAGAGCTAATGGATGGGAAAAAAAAAAAAGACAAGGATAATAAGAAAAGGTTAAAACCTGTAAATAATCGACGCAGATGTTATTAACAAAAACATGTCAACATAACTGCAATTTCCATTGTATCAGAGACAAAGTGCCTAGGATGTTGGAGCACTTGGCAACAGCTTCTCTGAGGATGGGCTGAAAGCATCTTGTTGATGAGGACTAAATTTATTCTCAGCAGAAGATTTACATGGAAATGAAATTCAGAGAAAAGTTCAGGCAAGCAAGGGTTGTGCTGAGTTCTGGTTGATGATCGTCTTCCAAAATCCAAGGTAATCCAGCTGTTAGGAACAATGACAAAGAGCCTCTCTACTATTTTATGGGTTTATGGGACAGCATAAGTGCACTGAACATTGTCTAGCAAGTTGATGAAGATGTTCAAGAGGAGTGAAATGAATGGTTGTCCTCACTGAGAAAGCTCTTTTCTTCTTTGACTGAAAAATCTTTGCAGACAACATCCTTCTCTCTTAAACATTAAGCAGCCTTCTCCTAAAAGTATATAATTAGTTTGTCAATGGAAGGAATTGATTTATGAGTTCACATGGAATAATATTTGTATCTGTATTTCACTAAACCTTGTTGCCCCACACATAGTCCCAACCAAAATCACAGCTACATGTAGGTTTCCATATCAGCCAGTCCTTTTCCTATCATGGCTCCTGTTCACTGATCTGGGGTTGTAATTCACCTTA